GTGTGTATTTCTAGTTTATGTATGCGTGTGTTATATTTTTCTTATGCGTACGTGCATGTGTGTGACTGATCGTGTACGTGCGTATGTTTTGGACACGCCCCCCCCCCCCCTCCCTCCCCCCTTCCCCTCACGTCTCATAAACAAACAAACCGGGTCAGATTCTTAACATTTATATTGATTTACGACACCGGATTTGTCGCCAAAATCCCCCAAAATACTTAATTGTAAAATAAAAATTCATGGAGCGGATTATTATCTTGTCTTAATTCTAAATTACGGTCCGTTTGCTCGCAGCTGTTTCTTTGGAATAGATATGGCCAGCTTTTTAACCTTCCCCAACGTGTGAGAAAGGCAGGAGAGATAGAGGAGAGGAGGGAGGAGGGAGGGAGGAGAGAGGTTAAAGGAGAAAGGAGAGAGGTTAGAAGGAGGGAGGAAGGCAGAGAGGGTTAGAAGAGAGAGAGAGGAAGAGAGGAGAGAGGGGGTAAGAAGGGGAGGAGGCTGAGGAGAGGGAGAGGAAGAGAAGAGGAAGAGGAAGAGAGAGAGAGAGAGATACATACATATGCACACACTCACTCACACACACCACACACACACAACACACACACACACACACACACACACACACACACACACACACCACACACACACACACACACACACACTCTCACTCACTCACTCTCACTCACTCACTCTCACTCACTCACACTCACTCACTCACACTCACTCACTCACACTCACTCACTCACACTCACTCACTCACACTCACTCACTCACACTCACTCACTCACACTCACTCACTCACACTCACTCACTCACACTCACTCACTCACACTCACTCACTCACACTCACCACTCACACTCACTCACTCACACTCACTCACTCACACTCACTCACTCACACTCACTCACTCACACTCACTCACTCACACTCACTCACTCACACTCACTCACTCACACTCACTCACTCACACTCACTCACTCACACTCACTCACTCACACTCACTCACTCACACTCACTCACTCACACTCACTCACTCACACTCACTCACTCACACTCACTCACTCACACTCACTCACTCACACTCACTCACTCACACTCACTCACTCACACTCACTCACTCACACTCACTCACTCACACTCACTCACTCACACTCACTCACTCACACTCACTCACTCACACTCACTCACTCACACTCACTCACTCACACTCACTCACTCACACTCACTCACTCACACTCACTCACTCACACTCACTCACTCACACTCACTCACTCACACTCACTCACTCACACTCACTCACTCACACTCACTCACTCACACTCACTCACTCACACTCACTCACTCACACTCACTCACTCACACTCACTCACTCACACTCACTCACTCACACTCACTCACTCACACTCACTCACTCACACTCACTCACTCACACTCACTCACTCACACTCACTCACTCACACTCACTCACTCACACTCACTCACTCACACTCACTCACTCACACTCACTCACTCACACTCACTCACTCACACTCACTCACTCACACTCACTCACTCACACTCACTCACTCACACTCACTCACTCACACTCACTCACTCACACTCACTCACTCACACTCACTCACTCACACTCACTCACTCACACTCACTCACTCACACTCACTCACTCACACTCACTCACTCACACTCACTCACTCACACTCACTCACTCACACTCACTCACTCACACTCACTCACTCACACTCACTCACTCACACTCACTCACTCACACTCACTCACTCACACTCACTCACTCACACTCACTCACTCACACTCACTCACTCACACTCACTCACTCACACTCACTCACTCACACTCACTCACTCACACTCACTCACTCACACTCACTCACACTCACTCACTCACACTCACTCACTCACACCACTCACTCACACTCACTCACTCACACTCACTCACTCACACTCACTCACTCACACTCACTCACTCACACTCACTCACTCACACTCACTCACTCACACTCACTCACTCACACTCACTCACTCACACTCACTCACTCACACTCACTCACTCACACTCACTCACTCACACTCACTCACTCACACTCACTCACTCACTCACTCACTCACACTCACTCACTCACACTCACTCACTCACACTCACTCACTCACTCACACTCACTCACTCACACTCACTCACTCACACTCACTCACACACACTCACTCACACTCACTCACTCACACTCACTCACTCACACTCACTCACTCACACTCACTCACTCACACTCACTCACTCACACTCACTCACTCACACTCACTCACTCACACTCACTCACTCACACTCACTCACTCACACTCACTCACTCACACTCACTCACTCACACTCACTCACTCACTCACTCATCTCACTCACTCTCACTCACCTCACTCACTCACACTCACTCACACTCACACTTCACACTCACACTCACACTCACACTCACACTCACACTCACACTCACACTCACTCACACTCACACTCACACTCACACTCACACTCACTCACTCACTCACTCACTCACTCACTCACTCACTCACTCACTCACTCACTCACACACTCACTCTCTCACTTATATATATATCTTTAATTCCTTGTCGTGTTGCACCTATATATGTCAGAGAAGAGTCAATAGTGTGATCTCCTGGTACATTAGTTTTTCCTCACCCATTTGATCCTCAAGATAGAACTCAACTTTTTCACATATTAGAAGATTAGCATAAACAAAGGTTCATGATTGAAAAAAGTACTCTTTAGCCCGACCCAATTAGCATTCATTAAATAGACAAGCATATACACATGGGATAAAAGCATGTCTGTCAGTATAGACTTGTATATCTACTGGACAGATAGATAGATGAATGTATATCTAACAGATAGATACAGATATGCATTTATTGCTGCCCATGTGTATGCCCTATATAGGAATCTTCATTGGGTCGGGCCTCAGCATATTTGCTATCTTAGTTTTCTTGTTTTTGTTAGAAAGAAATAGCTTCCTACGCTTTTACTTCAACCATATGGCCTTAATAAGATGTGGTTTTCATCTAATCATCAGGTCCGCATACTGTTAAATTAATGGTTAGAGGCGAAATTAATGTGCTAGACACCGAAGGTCATGATTCATTCTAGAAGGTACAGCATCGGAAAGGGTAAAGATGGGGATGAGTTATACGTCAGCGGTGTGTAGTAGTAGGATGGTATTTGAAGGGTGTATGTAGTTGGGTAGAGGTGGAGGGGGCGAGTGGTGCCCATATACTGCATAAGGGGTATGTGGTCCCAGTGGTAAATGAGTTAGCCCAGAGTAATCTTTTTCAATTTCATGATCAATCAGTTACAAATTTAAATGTTTGAATATATATTTACTACCCAAGTAACATTCTCCATTTTTTGAATTTTATTTTATTTTGCGGAGGAGGGGTTTTATTGCTCTGTTTACTATAATAAATAGGTTTCAGACAAAATATCTTCAATCACAAAATAATTGTATTTTGTAAGAGCAACAGCTAGACATGTGTTTTGGTTTAATATATTTTCTTGCTTCTTGTCTATGGTTGTCTTTTCTGAATGAGGGCAAAGTTTCTCTCCATACTTTTGCATAAATGTACTCAAGATGTACAGGTTTCAATTTTTCTCCCTTCAAATGCAAAATCTGAGCTAAATTAACCCAAATCTTTGATATAAATGGCAACACTATTCAATAAAGATGAATCAACACAAGCCTTATTAGTAAAAACAAAAACAAAAATAACTTGCTATATATTACCCATCTAAATATTTTGCATCATCAAATAACTAAAAGAAAAAAGATAAAGATTCAAATATCTATTTAGTTTCTCTACATTTCCTTTTACATTTTTTTTCATTAGGTACACACATCTAAGAAGGGTATAAGAAAGCCAATCTTAAAAAATCTTATTTATTTGATAGGTTGTGGAACTGCACAGCTGTCATTTTTTAGTGCCAATCAAAGAGATTCTCACGTAATAAAAAGTAGATATAAAGGTTGTTGGTCCTATATGCTCTTTACAAAAAAAAAAGGGGAAATGTACAAAATATTTGTACTGGACATCATACCATGCAATTTCACTTATACAGCCAAACTGCTACTTGTAGTTAACTCTACATTTACCTGTATGGTCGCGGCCATAATGTATTCTTCTCCTGGATTTTAATACCACAAATACAAGTAATTCCTCACTTCTTGGGGATGCCGCAGAATCAGCCTCCACAAAACTTCCAAGTTGCCAGCAGCCTGACCATGAAGTAATATAACAAATAATTTAATACATTTAAGGAATAGCATCACTAAACCCTTCGCCGAGCTTCTGGTTGGTTAAGCTCACTGCTAAGACATTGGTTAATCTCCAAGAAACACCAACCAAGAAACTTCACTTCCACACACCGTGACGCTCAGCCAGACCCAACGTCTCAGCGGGGGCGTCCCTAAAAGTGGCTCCTATCATGTTTCATCACCAGACAATAATGATACAGCAACTCACAAGCAAAACACTGATACAAAATTTTCTTACATATAGGACAATATCATTAATCATCTTACTTAACTGTAAATCATAATATTCTCTGCCACCAACACTAGTTGCTCCCTGATAACAACTGTACTGCCAATATGTATGTATGTAGTATTTATGAACATATATATGTGCACGTGTGCATGAGCATGTGTGTGTGTGTGTGAGTGAGAGAAGAGTTGGTGTGCACACAACTGTGAGAGAGTACTAGTGCTTGCACTTGTACCCCACTTCTTTACTTTGTATATATCTGGTCATCAAAGAACAACTTGTGGCGATTTTGTTTATCTAAATCATTAATGCATTACTATGTTAACCCAAACACTAACCTAGTACAGTAATTAAATATAAGACCACTGAATGTACATAGAAAAAAATATATATTTTGTTCAATGTCATCAATATCTCCTGATGGCACTGTGTACATGGTCAATCACTCAGCCAATTTCTAGCAAACATCTGAAGAATTCAATGCAGCTTTTAGTTAAATAAAATATTGAATTCCAAAGAATAAAACGCCCAGCCTTTTGAAACAACCTGAGTGGATCAGTTGTCCTTTAAACCGAGAAGCCAGTGATTAATAAGAACACTATTTCAACACAAAAGTGCCTGGTTCTTTCAGCTAGCCTGTGTAGGAATTAGTCCAGAATCCTGTCATATTACAGTATCTATAAGATACAACTATTAACCCCATTCAGTTTTACATCATCGGCTTACACGTAAATTTCGTAAGGACTACACTGCTGTTAAAATATTTTTGGAATACTTCACATTTAACCTCTGGACACTTGTGCAAACATTTCAAAAATAGAAACACTTTTGGGGTGTCGTAACTGATAGCACAGAATACTCGCAAGTACCTGAAATTTTGGGTTTCTCTCTTTTTGCTCTGAATATGTCCGCTTGATCAATCTTGTCCCAAAATGGTAAAATGGGAGGGGAGGGGAGATTTTTGTTTTTGTTTTTGCTTTTGCTTTGTTTATATAAAAAGTGAATACAAGTACACTAGGATCCCTGTACACTGCAGACACTCATTCTGGCTCTACAGGTGGAAGGAGCTTCGTCAGACCTCAGTAACGTGTACGTTTCAGGTCAAAGTCCTCAGCGGCTGGCTCTCTCTTGACACCACCTTGTTGCGGATACTCGTTGCTGCGTGCTGCAGGTACCTGTCCTCTGGTGTGCTAGGTGGGTATCTTTCACTGGGTGGACCTTGGCTGTACCTGTCCTCGCGGAAATTGGTGGTGCTTGTTGTTGATATCTTTCATTTTGGACGAGCACTTCCGTGGTAGTCAGAGTAACGGTTCTCTGCGAGCCTCCCATGTAGGTCCTGAAAAGATTATACAACATGAAAGTCAATATAACATTATACATATATATATATATATATATATATATATATATATATATATATATATATATATATATATATATGTATGTATAGGTATATATATGTATGTATAGGTATATATATGTATGTATAGGTATATATATGTATGTATAGGTATATATATGTATGTATAATTATAATATATGTATGTATAGGTATATATATGTTATGTATAAGGTATTATATATGTATGTATTAGGTATATATATGTATGTATAGGATATATATGTAT